ACTTACCTGACATACATTCTATTTTATTTTTGTTTGCATTACTGTAGTTTAGGAGTGAGTATTCACTAGTTTTGTTTAACTTATTGTTGTCTTAACTTAATACTTAAAATTTAATGAAGTGATTAAAAGATGAACGATAAAAAATAAAATGTTTATAGAAGACACAGATAACTAGTAACGAGGTAAAATTAAATATATTATTTTAACTTAATCTGATTAGTGATCGTTCATTTGTTAAATGATAGATAAATATAGAAAATTTAATTTCCACTTTCCAACGAAGTGTACCCGCTCTGGTTAATTCCAAGCCTTAGGTCGTCGATATAAAAGTGGTATCAGAAACAAGGTTTATGACTAAATAATTAAATCTTGATAAAAGAGTCAACTAGATAATTATAAGAAATTTTAATAATAAAAAAATTATAATTAAAGTTAACTCAAATTAATAATTATATTCATTCAGACAATGATACACCGAAATTATAGAAAAAGTTAACCCGATAAAAAATTTATGGATAGATAATGTCGATTTGCTTAATGAGATGTAACTTGCGGACTATTTTTAAATTTCAAGGATGACATTTTTACAAGTGGTGAAGATCGTAAAGTCCCGTTTCTGTTACTGGGGGAGAGGAATCTAAGAGCTAAGGAAAGAGAAAAAGAAGAGCTGACAGGGGGAAGAGGAAACAAGGGGAGGTCGGGAAGCCGAAGAGGTGATATTCACCCTATAAATTATCGCAAGAGACAGGAGCACTCTTTCGTCCAGTCAGAGAGTAGAGGAAGGAGGGAGAGAGGCGTTGTTGTTTGCATACCTAAGGAAACGATGTTGTGCGCTACGATCGTGAGAAGATGAGGATTGCTGTATTTCTTTACTACATTGAGTTGCGATAAAGGGTAGGACAAGAGTAGCACTACTTGCAACGAATTTTTCATACCCTAATTTGCGAGAAGAAAATGATGCTGAAGGAGAAAGGGGCGACCTGTTGAGAGCAAGTCGTGTTGCCATTCGCACGCGGAAAAGAAAGGGGTCGCTTGCGTAGGGCTCAACCAAAAGTAAGCATATAAAGAAGAGTTTTTGTAACTATAACTTTATACATATAATATGTGTATATATTTATATAATTCGGATTACATAAAATACAATAATAAAATTTAATACTTACATAATAAAAAAAAGAAAAATCCCCTCGACTATTAAGAAGTGTCCAATTTAATCCCCAAATTTTAAATGCTCCAATTTAGTCCTCGACTTTTAAAAATTGTTTCGAATTGGTCTTAAAAATTTTCTATTTAATTTAACAACTCCTGTCACATTTTGAAAGACAATTCTGTTTATTTACAAAATTCATGAATTAAACACGCGAAGGGCCATCCTATTCTCACTGGAGAATTCATACGCAAAACAGTTTCACCTTAAATCTAAATCTTCACTTCTCCACTAATGTGACTTCTCCCCATCTATTTCATCATTGACGAAGGAAGCAACTCAAGGCATGTACTCATTCACTGCTTTACACTTAACAGAGCAGTCTCTATATTGGTTGCGTCAATGACAAGGCTTTGTCTCCATCCCAATGCGACTTCTCCCTTTTATTTCACCATCGACGGAGCAACTCAAGGCGAGTACTCATTCACTGCTTCTCCACTCGACGGAGTAGGCTCTGTCTCTGTCTCCATCTGTTGTGTTTGCGTTGACAAGGCTTGGTTTACTTTCGAGTGTTTGTGCATCCCCCTGGACCATCATTCATTGCAAAGAGAGGTGGATTTAACTTACGTCGGGTTCGATCTGTAGAAGCTATGACTTCAGTCACGTAAATACGACACTAAAAGTTTGTGGAGTAGAGTGATTCGTCGAAGAGGAAAAATGTAATATATATGGAAAAAATAGATTATTTAATCAGATTTAAAAGCAAAAATGATGGAGAAATGAAATTTCAGAGTTTGTGATGTCTGTATTTAATCGTATTTGAACAGTATTTAATTAGGTTTTAAGTAAGATTTAACCTAAATCAAGCCAAACAACATATGCAATAATTTTATGTTGGATATATTTATAAATAATTACATAAAAGATGAAATACCTTCACTTCAAGTAGTTCACTTTTAAATTTAACAAAAAATATGATTTAGAACCAGTTTGAAGAAATTTTTCAAAGCTTGGGTCAAAATTAGAGCATCATAGAATTTTGAGACTAAATTGGAAATTTGTTAATAGTCATGTATTAGGCGTTTACTCTAATAAAAAAATAATAGCTTATTAAAATAATAAATTAATCAAATTTTATACAATGTTATGCTTTCAATTTTAGAAAAGCCTTTGCTACAATAATATTTTGTTTCCACAGACCAAATGCATTATTGCTACTGTTAGAGCACTGCATACCAATGATTTATAGTTCTATCGAATTTTATTCATGATGTAAGAATGACATGTGCTCAACTTTGCGTAAATTATCGAAGATATTGAGTTTTATACAACAAAGATTTATTTGCAAATGAGACTAAAACATTCATTGTTAGAAAGTGATAATTTATATTATGATTGCATGTGCATCTTGATGATAATAGTGTCGCCTCCTTTATTGTACTAGCGGGGGAAAACTAATGCACCAGTGCAAGTATATGGAAAATGATACTAATATTGAAGTACCGTAAGTGGTACAATTTTTAAACGGCACTTGTGATGATTGTACATATATATAAAGATATTGGTAAGTTATTGGTATAATAAAATTCATTAAATAGCATATCAAATATTTATGTTGATTTATTAAAAATTTAACTGCATGCATATTGTTTTCTTTTCTTTTATATTATTATAGTTTAGGAGTATGGATCATCACTAGCTTTGTTTAGCTCGTTGTTGTTTTAAATTAATATTTAATGTTTAATTAAGTGATTAAAATATGAACAATAGAAGAAAAAATGTTTATAGAAAGCGCAGACAACCAGTAACGAGATAAATTTAAATATGTTGTTTTAATTTAACCTAATTAGTGACCATTCATTTGTTAAATGGTAAATACATATAAAAAAAAAATTAATTTGCACCATCCGAACGTCTGTACCCGTCTTGCTTAATTCTAAGCCTCGGACCAGGTTGTAACAGCCGTCAACCCTTTCTACCACCTTCCAAACCCTGTTTTTGCTACCCAATCAGCAACCTACGTTTTCCTCCTCACTCTAAGATGTCTTTTGTATTTTTGTTTTTGTTTCCCTAATATTAAGAGTCATTCTTTGCAACCTTTATTTAAATTTCAGTAATAATAATTATATTTCTATTGTGGTATATTGTCCGATTAAATTTCAATGGCTCCTTGATAATTATATTTCTATTGTGGTATATAATTATATTTCTATTGTGGTATATTTCTTTGTTAAATTATTTCTATTTAAATCGATAAAAATCTTTCGTATAGCTGCTTATTGTCCGATTCCCTTGTGAACAGCATTGGAATTGTAGATATAACATTTGTTATATCTGATATACCTGATTTGTTATACACATTATCCGGCTGCTAATTTAATTTCTCTGTTTCCTGAGCTTCAATGGCTCCTTGATTCGGATTTTGGGACCAAACGGGGCCTCCTCCCTTTGCAATAGTTGATCCACCTTTAGTTAATTTTATCTGCTACTCCGATAAACTTCTTTTAGGATAAGGGAATTTGGGAGTTCAATTAAGTTGCAGCTAGGTCTTATATGCGAAATTCACAGCTTATGATAATGACTACACTGAATTTATTTCTAGTTTGTCTTGGATAGCTTCAACTCTCCTAATACAGTGAGCAACTAGTTTTCATTTTGATTCATCTAAATTATTGCAGGCGCTCAACATATAAAAATCTTCCGTATAGCTGCTTATTGTCTGATTCCCTTGTGAACAGCATTGGAATTGCAGATATAACATTTGTTCAAGTCAGAATGAAGGAAATGGCTCTGGATGAGCTATTTCGTTTTCATCCAATTCTGTACATTTCCCATTCCTTCATAATGACTGGATTGCAAGAGTTGTAGCCACCATGCTCTTGCACCCCCTTTTATCAGACCTGTTTTTTAGGGTGATATATTATAATCAAAGAATGCCTCAACAGACTGCTCTCAATCGAGATAATCTTCAATGGAGAGTGGCCATCGAAGAAGAGAATATCGATTTTCATTTTAAGCTCGCTAAATTGATCATCATTGTGCACTTGCCGATGGTGGTTCTAGTCCATCAGTAAGAGTTCTTCAAGTGACTCCAAATCGGAGAACTAAAACCATCGACAACAGATTTCCTCCTCATCGGAATCAAGAAACTCGGATTGTGTCAATAGATCAAAGCAACATGGTCACCTCGGGTCGTGATTAATTGCTATGGAATTCTCTCTTGCTGACTTGATTTCCAGATCAACTGGTGTAGATGTCAGAGGACCATTTCTGAAAGTTCGGAACACTGGCCTAACCTCTCCCACAAATTATTGGAACTAAACTGTGAGTTTATCCAACCTCAGCGTGCAAGGCTGCTTGAGCATGTGCATAGTTTCACGACATCGATCGACATTGATGGGCGATAAATTTTCTCCGCCAGGCATTTAAGTGTCTCGAATACCAATTTGATTCAGTTTCACAAATTGGACCTAAAACTGGAGTCTCGAAGACCAATTTGACGCAGTTTCACAAATTGGCCCTAACACTGGAAGAACATGGAACAATTCCACGCGTAGAATAATACGCAATCTGTAGGAGAATAATCCAAAAAGGCTGCTCACTTGGTTACTAGTAAAAGTATATATACTGCAAATCATTACACTACTACTATACATAAACATCAATACTACAGGATTAATACTTAAAATAGTATTCAAGAAGCTAAAGAAATGAACTAATAGTTATATAACTATACAGTTATAATAAATTTAGCTACATGGAGGACCTGAGAAAGAAACATTTTTTGTATTTCTAAAAGGTAAGATAAATAAAACAATTAACAGGGACCAGCAAGACAAAATTAGAGAAGTACCTGTAAAAGTCTATTCATAGGGACGGGTCTTTTAAGATCCCAGATTATTTCAGAAACAGCATTTAACTGGCTTGGAGTTAAGGAATATGGAAGGACTTCCAAAAAGCTTTTAGTAAGCGTGGACCATTCCTCCACAGGAGTAGTATTAAATCTGTTGCATTTGAATTTATACAGCAGATCTTCCTTCTCGATCTGTGTACCTAGTGAGTCGAGCATTTGAAAAAGTCTGCCCAACTGCAGAGTGGGATGAGAATGAAACAATTAGTTAGGCATTCAAATAATCTTTTTCATCATAAGGGCAGACATCACAGTTAATAATGTATACAGAATTGAAAACAATTCTCAAATCGGACTTAATTGTAAGCTAAAAATAACCATGATATGTTTGAAAACTACAAAAAAAAAAAAAAGATTTTCAATGCCTAATGCTGCTCAGTATCAAGAGTCGGATTTACTATGAAATAAAAAGCATTAAACAAGGCCAAAGGCACAAATTCTCTGGAAGTTACAGACCTAGTAAAGGAGGTTCAAGATATTCTAACTAACAACCTACCACATGGATTACCACCATTGTGTGAGAATCAGCATGTCATAGATTTTATTCCAGCATCAATGCTCCCAAACCAACCAGCAGAATATGAGATGCAAAAATATGTTGAGGATTTGATGGCTCTAGGGTTAGTTATTGAGAGTATCAGTTTGTGTACTAAACCAACTTTGATTGTGCACAAGAAGGATGGATTGTAGTGTATGTGCATTAATTGCAGAGTAGTAAAAAAAATTATCATGAAATACTGGTTCCCCATTTACAGAATGGATGACTTATAGGATAAATTGTATGGAGCTAACAAATATTCAAAGAGAGATCTGCATGGTGAAGATAAACATATTTGGATGAGATTCAAGGATGAGTGAAATACCACATTCAAAATGCGAGATAAATTGCATAAGTGGACAATCATTAATTTTGGCATTCGACCCTCAAAGTACCTTTATGAGGCATATGAACCAAATTTTATAAGCCTCCATCGAAAAGTTTTTGATTTATGTACTTCGATAATATTTTAGTGTACAATCATTAAGGAGAGAAGCATTTACAACAATTGCAACAAGTGTTCGAATTTCGTGGGTAAAGCGGCAATATAACCATCCTAAGTGTCTTTCTCGGATGCCATAAGCTTTTGTGGTTATATGGATTAAACTGATAGAATTGAGGCACATCTCACTATAATTGAGGCCATTATTAATTGGCCCAACCTACAATCATTCACTCGAGTACGTCCATTTTATAGATAGACTTCTTTTTATGAGACATTTACCAAAAATTTCAGCTGCCGCCCTTGACAAATCTCCTCAAGCAAAAGATTTGTCAGGTTCGAAGGACAAGTTAGTTTTGAAGTCTTGAAAAAATAAGTTACTCAAGTGTTATAAGTAGAGTGCAATGTCTTCAATGTGGAAATTGAAGTTGTGTTGAGTCAGGGTGAACACTTTATTGTCATATTCAGCGAAACGTTGAATGAGTCATGCAGCAATCCCCGCAGTGGCTTCCTCGCTCACTTTAGTCATCCCTATATTGCGAGTGAGATGCGCAAACAAAGACAATGAAGTTTCAAATGTCTTTGTACGCCGCAATCCTGTTGTGCACCGCGAAAATGAACAAAGGGGACTTCAGCTGCATATAAGTTGTGAACAGCGAAAAAGATGATGGAGAGGTTTCGTCGGACGTGACATGAGAAGGAGAAAAGGGTTCCAAAGGTCTTTGTATGGCGTAATCATGTCTATGCTTTCCTTGAAAGTGCAAATTGCATTATTGTATCAAAAATAACTACAAAACTTTACAAAAAACTCGAACAAATGTGATGTGTTGGGCATTTACCCTAACCACATCCAAAAAACCATAATCACAACTAGACGTTGTACAGGAAAAAGAGCGATTCAAAAGACGTTGGGCATAAAAATGAGCCACTCTATTACAATATCTATAAGTGAAAAGAAAGAGAATCTGTTTGAAGTCGATGAGAAAAGCTGTCACGACCCAGCCTGGAGCTTGGAATTAACCAAGACTGGAACAGACAGACGGACGATGAATTCTCTATTTTTCTATTTCTATCACTAACAATTAAATATTTAAATATAAATGAAAGAGCCACTAAAAAACAAAAATTAAAATTAACAAGTAAAAATTTGCACATTTCCAGTTATTGTTCTTTTCGTCTATACATATTGGATTCTTTTTTATTCATATTTTTCAAAAGCTTAAAACCTAAAAAATGTTAAAACAACATAATGAGTTATCTGAAAATAACCCAGAAGTAAACACGTTTCTAAACTACAGTAAATCAAGGAAAAGAAATTAATATACATTCTAGTCTTTTATATATCTATAACAAATCTTTTACCATACTGATGTTTTATATGAAATCGTTGAATATGCATTACATGCATCAATGACTTAATGAAAATACTCTCAATTTATATATGCATTAAATTTAACTTTACTTCTACTTTTTACTTTTTACAAACACATATTTCTGCTTTGAGAATTACCATCAAAACAACCTAACACACCCTTTGTTGATATTGACTTGTCAGCTCTTGTCGACACAGCAGTTAGTAATATAACCATAACAATTGTCTAGGGTGTAAAGGCCCTTATCTACTCTTGGCCGATATTACCTCATTGGCACAGTGGTTGGCGATCTATACAACTCGATTGTCTGAGGTGGAAAGCTCTGTCTACTCGCCCCTGACCGATATTATCTCGTCCGCACAGCGGTTAGTGAACTATCACAATTGTATGAGATGTTAGAAAAACATCTACGCACACGGGTACACTATGTCCCATTTCTATACTAATCGCGGGTGAACTCCTCAAAACATGCACATACAAGCATTCATGTATACCATATTTTCGTTTCATACTTCAAATATACATTACATTCATATGAGACTGGTGTTTATTTACTAAAAATCATGCAACTCTATTAAAATTTAATATCATACGATAATCTAAAAGATGCACCTTGACTCTAGTTCTAAAAGTCAAATCACAATCTGATATATATATCTAGTCATACAATGAGCTGACATATACATCATTATTAGCAAATACAGATCATGTAGTAATCTGATATCTTAAAAAAATAACCATTATGCAACTATTAAGACAAACATTTAACATGCACATATTATGACTGACCATATGAAGAATTATAGGTCATTTAATTTCATTGTGCAACTATTTAATATGCATAATTTCTTATATGACCATAAGAAGAATCAACTATAATCTAAATCTCACATGAATTAAAATGATGAAAATTACTAAAATTTAGAAATATAATTGATCATCTTAACCTAGCTTGCTCGTCTTACAAACTTCATATCTTCAATCTTAGGTTTAAATGTTCTTCAATATTGATTGTTGTTATAAATTAATATTTTATTAATTTTACATTCTACAATAAATTAAACTTAAACATTAATTAACATATATCTTTTTTCCTTCAAAGCGATTCGCTCATTGAAGACGAACTAAACAATCGTTTCTTCAATTACCTTTTGTTTTCAATTAAACCTACCATTAATGAATATATATCTATTTTTTCATGAATAAACCCTTACCTAAAAAGGCCTAGTTTTCTACCCAGCACACAAGACCCATCTTACCTCCGTAAAATTTGACTTGATTCGGCCTCTTTCATTATGCTTCTTCTTCTGGTGTTGAATCATAAATAAATACTTAATATCTTTCATGAAATTGAACTAGCAAGTTGATAGTTTTTGTACTTATCAAGTAGAATATGCTTGAAACTAGACAGTTTTTGTCATCGGACTAGCAAAACAGAGGTTTCTTCATTATGACTATTTCGATGGCTTGTTGAGCAAGAAGAGTCTGCTTTTTCACTATGATCGTCTTTATGGATTTTTGAATTCCCCAATTGGCTCCTTGCTGACTTTAGTCACACATTTATTGCAAGTGGCATGCACAGCCAGAGGCAGAATGAAGTTTCAAAGGTTTCTATATGCCATGATCCCTTTGTGTGGCACGAAATAAATAAAGGGGGCTTCAGCTACATGTAGGTCGTGAATGACGAAGAAGATGATAGATAAAGAATTAGTTGTGCATGTCAAAAAGAGGTGATAGTTTCTTTAAAATATACAATTTGCATTAATATATCAAAAAGTATAAAAAAACTATGCATGTATACACTTATCATATACAAAAATATGATCTATCATCGACAAGTATAGAAGAAAGCTCACTATCCTCATCTTCAAGCATCAAAAGAAAAGAGCTATGAAGGGCTAACTTGGCATAAAACGAGCCGACCTATTACATTCGAGAGGCATATGGAAAAACAAAACTTACTAGAAATTAAAAAAATATGTGAAATGCGGAACATCATGCGGTCTATGGCGCCAAGTGTCTGTCGTCATAGTATGCCGCAAAAAGTGAGTGATGTTGGTATTGCCTCTCTCGATAATCATGCCCTTGCACTCAAACATCCACAGTTGACAGATGGCTTGGAACAATCTAATAACATGTAGTTCAACTTGGGCGATGTCCCAATGTTGAAGGTGTTGACCAGTGGCAAAAGTCAAAAATCTTACTCGTCACAAATGATGCAGCTGGTACCGGCTGCCCCGAAAGATAGAAGCGGGCCATCAAAGTTCATTTTGGGCCTTCTGGGTGGGGGAGGATGCCAGAAATGGGTGGAAGAGATCAACCAAGGAGTCGGCTAGCATCCCATCGCACACAAAATGAAAGAATGGAATCTTCATAAGTGCCTCAAAAATGGTGGCATCAAAAAGTTGTTGGCATGTCGTAGGAACGGTTGTGGATCTTTGCATTGTGAGCTCTCTAACATTGATGAATGATGTAACAAAAACACCAGGCTTGTGGAAGTTCTGACTTGGCCATCATGCTAAGCTTATCCGCAGCTTCAATGAAGTTGTTAAAGGTCAGGATGATAATGCCCCAACAAGCCATAATATCTTGAATAACACAAAACAGAAAATAGTTAGTAGAATTCACAGTCCTCCGTCCCGCTGAGCATCCCCAAGGGCACACTGTGAAATCCGTAAGGCCCATCATTGCAAGCCAAACCTGAGTGGGAATGGCATTGTGGCATAATCTCCACCAATAAAAGCCTCTCTAGGGTGTACTTTCAGCTTTTTTATCCAAGTAAAATTAATACCAGAGTTTGGGAATTTAGCTTCATGCGCAAGTGCAGTAATTGTTCTCCCCGGGTGTATCCTCTTGAGTTCCAAAAAACCCTTGTGATATATGTTAGAAACTGGAACTTTCATGATGGTATCCATCATATCATCCCCTAAAGCATTTTGCAATTTATTCGGTCCCAAAGACCATCCTCCAGGAAAGCCGAAACCTCCAACCCATCTAGGATTTCGGTATTTGCTGGACATGGCCATTTCACAAGGGAGATATCTTGGACCCAAACCTGCTCCAGGATGTCCATGCTCTTGGCATTGACGACATGCCACACCGCACAATAGGTAGAAGGGAAGTGGCACCGTCACATAAAATTTTCCATGTTATGAAAGTGTTGCGTTTGTAATACCAAAAAACAGCACAGAAGAGATTTCTTATTGTGTAAAAAATGCCAAGAAAGTTGATTCTGCAAAGGTCCATTCCAGTCCTTAGAGGCATGAAAATCGATGCCCCCATTTTGTGAGGGCCGACAGAGGTCATTCCAAGAAAAATAATGAAGGGCGGGCTTATTTGCATTTTTACACCACAAAAACTGTCTGCATTTGCGTTCCAATTCATGGAGAATACTACTCAGCACCTCACTGTGGGTAAGCATGTACATGGGCATGGTGAGAAGAGGAGTGTTGATAAGAATAGTATGTCCTGCAAGAGATAGTTGCAGCATTCCACAAGCACTTAGTTGCAAAGATACCTTTTGCATAATGTTGGTGAGATCCGATTTGTTCAGTTTCCTTAAAGCAAGTTTGATGCCAAAACACTCCGGCTCCTCAACACAAGTAAGTTGTAAAAATCTAGTAATTCTCCTTTTAACCCAAGTGTGGCGGATTTGGAGGTGCGTTGGTCGGCCCGTGCACAGTAACCTTGCAAAATTTTACAAAAACGTTTTGTGGCCTGCATATTGGATTTAGAAAAGAGAATGATATCATCGACATAAAGTAGTTTTGAAAGCGGAGAGGTCCCCTTAGTGGAGAGAGGGCTGAGAAAAGAAACTCAGAAGAAATAAAAAAAAAAATACACTGACAAAGGGTAGCCTTGCCGATAACCCCAAGCCGCCTCAATCCATGGAGTTTTTTTGTGGTTAATGAGAAGCATGAATCTAGAAAACTCAATGCAACAGAGAATCTAGTTTTTGAAAATATTTGGGCAGCCCAACTCCTCAAGCACCTTCTGTAGAGTTCTCTGAAGCATTTTGTCAGAGGCTTGCTCCACATGGATCTTAATAGTCATGGGGCCGGTTTGAGCGATGGAATGTTTCAATTTATTGATAATCACTTGAGCTATGAGGCAGTGATCGGAGAGAGATGAATGCGGGGCAAACGCTCCTTGCTCGACAGTGATAAATGAGGGTAGAGAAAGTTTCAACCGATAAACAAGAATCTTAGCAATCACCGAGTACATAGTGCTGCATAGGCTTATGGGCCTAAAATGTTTGGTAGAATCAAATTCGGAGGTCTCTATATGGTTGATCCTGTCTATGCTTTCATCGCTAGCCCTAGAAGCGACTGTATCATGAGCAAAGACGAGGGCTTTAGTGAGGTTGCGATTACTAGAGCCGCCAAGCGATTGGGAGAGATGGAGAAAAAGGACTACGTTCTCCGCAGATCGTGTGAGACAGAAGGAAATGGGGCCTTTGTTCGAATATAAAGAAGCTAGGGTGAGGGTGAGGGTGAGGGTGATGGGTCCTTCGATCTTAGAATAAATGGAGAATTATAGGAACTGTTGTAAAGTTTAGCAGCATTAGTTATACGAGAAAGACAGTTATAGGCTTTAAATTTATATTCCCTTTTTTTCTTCTTTTTTTTTAACTTATTTTAATAGTCAACATATAGGTCTATACACTCCTCTTCCTATTGAAGAATCACCCTACTTGCATGTGACCAATAACTTCGTGGGGTATTTGCATCAAACATAGGGGGGAAAGACTATATTATGGTACTGATAGGATGCATTTCTAAAATGTCATTATTCATACATTATCACAAAATGATGGATGCTTCATATATTGTTGATTAATATTTCAGTAAGATAATCCATCTTTATGGCGTGCCTCTAACCATCACTTCAAAAAAAGATGTGAAATTTTCCAAGTCACCTTTGGAGGATTTAATGAGATAAGCTTGATAAAAAGCTACAGATCAATTCAGCAGCATAACCAAAAATAAATAGATAGAATTCATGAATTGTAGTTTGGGAAATCTCCTTAGGAGCTTTATAAGAAAGAGCATCAAATAGTGAGATTTGATTCTAACCCAAATTGAGTTTGCTCAGAACAAGTCCATAGGTTTCAGACCATTTAAGATTACACATGGATGAAACCCTCTCACACTATTGGATTTAGTGTCGTTATTTCCTCTCACACTATAAGATTACACATGGAGAAAGTTAAACCTTACATGAATAGATGATGAAGGAGGTCACATAATAGAATACTTAGTATCACAAGCAAGCCAACAAGTCTAGGTTTTAAAAAAGGAAACTCATTATAAATTAGATTGAAGGAGTAGCCCCCCGCAAGTTTTTCCGACAAACTCAAGCCAAGATCTGACGACCCATTCAGGATTGTCAAGAAGATTATTTACAACACGTAAACTTTGATTTGCGTGAGGACTATAACCTTTTTGTAACTTTCAATGTCGATGATCTATTGTCATACTACAAGGATTCAGGTGCTTCCAAGGAAGGCGTCCTAACTTCCTTTCAATGTTGTTTTCTCAAGTCTGAGATAGATGTAGAAACAAAGAATTGGATGTGGTTCTTTTCTCCGGTCAGGTCCAAAGTTTCCAACCTCAAACGACTGGGCCGACTTAGTGTCATAAGTACCTTACTTAACACAAGTACTAGCGTTAATTGCTTAGAGAAATATATGATTGTTTGTTTTGGACTAGTTGGAACAATATTCCGATTCTGATTTATGCTAGGTTGAGATTTCTTCTCAGAATTCTCTTCATAGGAATCTTATATGTTGTGTGTATGCATCTTGTAATAAAACAGATGGTGCATCCTTCCAACGATTGTGTCCTTCTGTTTCTCGCCGTCAGATGCAAGTTTCTTGTTGTCCTGCACATAGACAACAACAGCTGCCTATTTTCCCTTCACTGTCCCTTTACTGAATCAAATATTCTTCACATCGTTCATCCTACACCATACCCAATACTTAATCCTATTGCATTGACCGGAGATTCTATAACAATGTCATCAACTCAAAATTTAGTCGCATCTAAAATAATTAGTATGTATGCATGTATAGGCATGTACGCATTGTATGTGTATTTATGCATGTAGGTATGCATGTATGCATGTATGTGCATTTATAAATGTATGCATGCATAAACGATTACCTGCATGTAAAAAAACTCGTCAAAGTTTAGTCTCCTACGAGCCAAATCAGCTTCATTTAAATTGTTTGGTCTGTGGATCCCCAAATAAGCCTACTCAGTCAAAAATATAGAATTTATAGTTAGACGAAAAAGATGGTCATGCCTGAAAAAGATTTGAAAGTGTTAAGAAATAAATTTCTTAGAAATGCACTTGATATATCATATCAGTAAATGGAAAAACACGTACACCATGCACGATTTATTTCTCTATATGAAAAAAGGGGCGGCCATGGCGTTCTTTGCTTATAAGAGTAAAATCGCAAAAAATGTGAACTGCTGGAAAGTTGATATAAATTGTAAACACAAACAAAATGTGAACTGGCGACTTACTTCAATAAACAAAGAGAATTAACTGATATTGTGGTCATGCCACTCTTTTCGTAAAGCAAGATAGAATAAATTTAAACAAGAAAAAGAAAACATGAAAACCAGAATTCAGCCATTCACCCTTCAAAAACCATTCTTAACATCAATGGGGTGAACAACCCATGAAACTGTAGGGTTAGAGACAACAGAACAAAAAAAATGCATCAAGCATTTTTTTCATAAAATTATGATTTTTTTTTTCTTCAAGAAGAGGAAATGAAAAAAACAATTACTCAAAGGGAAAAATAATTTTTTTTGTGCATGCACCAGAGAGTGAGAATGGTATTTCAGATGAACACTTCTAGCCTTATCCTAACTATTAATTGTAAAATTTACAAATGTTTTTTCCTCCACGCAACGTCAGTAAATTGCAATATTCTATTGGAAGTGTTTTGTTTCCAATTTACTTCAATATTGTTTTTTTTTAAACGAACATAATGGTAGAGTTGTAGAAAATTTTAAAAATATTCATGGCGGCTATGATTTTGAAGTGACTAATAAAGAAAGGAAAGTTATATTGGATTTCGCTTTTCTTCATGATTTTGTTCTTATCAATACTTTATTTAAATAAAGAAATGACCATATTATCACCTATACGAATGAATATTATAAGAATGAATAAAGAAATGATCATATTATCATAATATGTGATAAAAAATATCACTCAAACCTGAAGGAAAATTTTATGAGATTGTGGTGAGACTTGTTATGTTTTATAGCATAGAATATTAACCTCTAAAAGATAAGCATAAAACTAAGTGTTGTTGAGATGAGAATGCTTAGCGAACGAGTGGTTTTTCACTTTGAGACAAAATATATTTGTGAAAGGGATAGAATAAATCTAATGGAAGACAAGATTGGAGAGAGTCACGTTAGATGGTTTGGTCACATTAAACGTCGACCATCTGATGACCTGGTTAGGAGAGTAGATGTCATAGATTTGACTTATGCTATGAAACACGGACGTAGACCAATGAAGACTTGGGCAAAATGTATAGAAAATGATCTTAATTTATAGAATTAAACGAAAATATGGCACCTAATAAAGCAAAATGGAGAAACATATTCAGGTAGTCAATCTCAGTGAGATAAAAGCTTGTTGTTGTTGTAAACAACAAAAAAGTTTAAATAAAAAAATGCAACAAAAAGAAATAAATATTAATTTACATAGCTTAGTTCTTATAATTATTAATTACATCTAAATATTAATTGTCCTAATTAAATCTCAAGCCCTAATTAGTGAAAAATATCTCTCTTTCTTTTAATATGTTGATAAGCCCACCACAGATTTTGGAAGAATTTATACCTAGATAATCAGATGTGGCATTTAAAGAATAATATAGTTCCTCGAGGAGAAAAAATATTACCTTAGAAATGGACATAATAATTCTGACGACAAAATTTTTTTTAAGACTTATGGGTCTATGTGAATCAGGTTTTTGCCCTACCTTACATGTGTAAGATAGAGTTTATATTATTATGGGGTATAGTATCCCAACAAGAGCAAAACCTCATAGTTAATTATATCTCTAAAGCTGTGAATTTTAGAGAAAACTCTCATGTAATTAATGAGTTAAGTTATTCAGGATTTCAAGGTTGGATTTTCAAAGATTGGGGCTTCACAGGCGATGGAGGGATTCTGATTCAGAAATTTAAAAAAAAATAAATTCAAAAGATGAGACTTACAATCTAATGACAGAGCAGCCTAGAAAGACCCATAGAAAGAGATTTGATCATCCAAAGAGAAAAGTTTACCCAAAAGATTGAGGTCGTAATCAAAATAGGGTTAAATAAGGTTTGAACCAATTTAATTGGAAGACACTGATTGGGAATTCAAGTTTGGGGGTTTGATATTGATTTTATCGGAGAAATTGGTTGTGTTTGAAGATGTTCCTAGACTAAAGGGTAGAATTGGATAGGAAGGATTTCTAGATGGAGGTAAAAGTCCTAGCTAGCCTAGAGTCCACAAGGAAGCTAAATAGGTGGACTAACCTAAACATTGGGAATAACGTCCCCAATCAAGATGCTCATTATTTACATCGCCTCGGGTGCATTGATATCCTTCAACTATAACCAAACGCATTTCCAGAAGTCTTTACTTAGCTCCATGGCAATGCAAGCAAAGAGTTTATTAGCGAGAGGTGGTTAGGGATGTCTTCATCAGTAACTATGGGTTACTTCATTCTATGGAATCACATAGTCTTTGGGGGTAAGGCTATTTGTTTTGTAGGTTCTAGTCTTTAATACTAACTAAGGTACCTAGTAATATAATCCTAAGCTTTCAAGGCTGCACCAGCCTAGGTTTGTGATCCTCAGTTTTTGTTTCTATGTTGGCCAACCTAGGGTTCGTGCCAAATTTACTTAGATTTGGCTATCATTCTTTAAGTTGGTGGATTTTAGAATTTATTTAAGGTTTTATATTTCGTTCGTAGCTTGTTTTAATTCCTAGGTTTGTCAGTCATTGTGAAAATCAAGATTCACCTAAATTTTATTTTTTTCAATTGATTTTCTAAGTTGATGTTCTCCGTTCTTTGAAGTTTTATGTCACTTGCAAGCTTATGTGATTTAATTTCTTTTAAAGTTTAGAAATTTTGAGTTGCTTAAGTTTTAAAGTTTTTGATTTTTTTTTAAAAGTTTGTTCAAGTTATCTTTAGTTTGATTGTTTCAGGTTTTTCATGTTATTAACTGTTTTAATTTATTTAATTTATTAGGTTTTAGGTGTTAGTCATCTTAGATGGTTTAGTCTAAATGTATGGATTATCTTTATTTAATTTAGATGGTTTAGTAACTTATTTAGATTTGAATATTCAAGATGCTATTTAATTTAAGTGATTAACTTATTTAATAATGTTTGGTATAAGTGTTTGGACTTCAAAATATTTTGTTTTACATTTGTTTTCAAGTTGTTACGTTAAATTTGGGTTAGGCTTGGTTTCGATTTCAGCGAGGTTTGGTTAAGTTTGAGTTAGGCTTGAGTTAGATTTGGTTTAAGTTAGGCTTGAGTTAGGTTTGAGTTAAGTAAGGATTGGGTTTGGGTTTGGGTTTGATTTAGTTTGGGTTTGGGTTTGGGTTTGGGTTTGATTTAGTTTGGGTCTGGGTTTGGGAAAGGTTTGGGATTGGGTTATGGTCTAGGTTTGGGTGTGTGAAACGTTGGCTAAAAAGATGACGACATTGACCCGCCCAACAGAGAAAAAATCAAGGAATTCAAAGGCAGAGCTGACTTTCCTTAATGTTGCTTCCAAAGCGAGGAAGTTGATGTCAAAGTGTGGGCCCCGCCAAAAAGAGAGAAAATTGAGATGTTTAACGAAACTTCAAATTGGTCAATTTCGATGGTTTTTAGCTTATTTTAATTGTATCTTAAGTTTAAAGTTGTGATTTGAGTTCGTTTCGAGATCAAATTTTTCATCCAAATTAGCAAGAGTTGGAAGGGCCCCAAAGCAAAGTCTAATTTGCAAGCAATTTTCATTTGAAATTTTCGGCAACCTGAATGCATTGGGGGAGTCCATTTGTAAAACAACGCTCAAATGAAAATTTTTATGGGCAAATTCTCATATATGAAAACTAGTCACATGAAATTTCACCACGAATGTTGTATAATAGATGTCAAAACTCATTTCGTGTTATTCATACATTTGATAATGAAACAAATGTAGCTCATAGCATAAAATTTCAAGCACCATGATGACCCGTAGAGGGGACGATAATTTCGGAGCACAAAAATGACAATTTCAGAATATTCTCTCATTGGGTTAAATTGCAGTCCATATTCAGAATTGATTGAAGTTAATTACATTTGATTTCCATTTGTCGTAATTTCATTAAAGTTTGTTTTAAAAATCTTAGATTGATAACGAGTTGACAAAAGTGAGGTTAGCACTAATTTATCCATGCGACTATCAATCACTGATTAACCAATAACTTCTAGGGCAAATCAAAACTATTCTAACTAAAATATATTTAGTAAATAAAAAAATAACATAATTTGGATTGCAAATCTTAATGACCTTACCTAAGATTGTAATGAGTTTCTAATTTAGCATAATAAATAGCTAAATAAAATTCAATTTGCCTTTTTAAATGATTATAATAAAATTGTTTTGATATGATCACCACCCAAAACTTTCAGTGCATAATCATTTGCTTTTATAAGACTATAATAAAATTTAAAATTTGAATAAAAAAATAAGTTTTTATATTAACTTTTTAACTCTCCTCAACATAATTCCTCATCAACAATTTCAAAAGGATACAACTCAAGATATAAATATGTTTTCCCTCGGTACTTGTACGAACACTTCATCCCCTATCTACAAAGTATGACTCAACATTTAATTATTTGTAATCAGCACAATCAATAAGTACTTTGTTTCAGAAAATGAGAAATATAATCAGCACCGTCCACTTCATCATTAGTCTTAACTCAGCTACTAACAATCAGCTTTAAAAAATTGAAATATCAATTACTTCGTATTTAGTGGCATAAGTGTAAGGCACATCTAGTCCAAACGTTTTTCATACAGCTTCTATGCATGTTTCTTTTTACTAACAATTAGCCTTCTTTACCCGCTCAACATCTCATGCCGCATTTGCTTGATTGGTGCAACTTGTACTCATTGCTGAATATTGCAAGAAATCAACTAAGATAATTTTGTAGTACCGAACTTCAATTCCCACCATTTTTCAAT